AATAAATGTTAAAAAAAATTTTTTTAAATAAATAAATAAATGAACATGTCAAAAAATAATATATAGATGTGTATTCACTATAGAACAGTGTACAAAACATATGAAGTGACAAAAACAGGATTCCAAACAAAGTTATAGTATGATCCTAGTTTTGTAAATATGTTTATTCACATTTATAGAGCTAGGAGAGAATCTAGAAGGATAAACATCAAAATAGGGTTATACCATGGTAGTGATACTGGATGTATATATCTTTTTATTTTATTTTTTTTAATTTTTTTTTCAACGTTTTTATTCATTTTTGGGACAGAGAGAGACAGAGCATGAACGGGGGAGGGGCAGAGAGAGAGGGAGACACGGAATCGGAAACAGGCTCCAGGCTCTGAGCCATCAGCCCAGAGCCTGACGCGGGGCTCGAACTCACGGACCATGAGATCGTGACCTGGCTAAAGTCGGACGCTTAACCGACTGTGCCACCCAGGCGCCCCGGTATATATCTTTTTAAAAATTGTTTTTAAATGTTTACTTTTGAGAGAGAGCAAATGAGCAGTAGAGAGACGGGGACACAGAATCCGAAGCAAGCTTTGGGCTCTGAGCTGTCAGCACAGAGCCCAACGCTGGGCTGCAACTCAAAAACTGTGAGATCATAACCTGAACCAAAGTTGGATGCTTAACCAACTGAGCCACTCAGGTGCCCCTAGATGCACACATTTCTATTCCATTTGCATTTTCTATTTTTTCTGTAAGAATGTGTTGATTATACAGCAAATAAATGAACATACATGTTATTTTCTTAAAGGCTCTTCAATAACTCAGGGAAGACCTGATCAGTTTGAACCCAGGGCAGATGCAAGGGGGTGGAAGGTGTAAAGAGAAGGAGGCCAATTATTTCTGATAGGAAGGTTCTGGAAACCAAGTGGATATTCAATTGACCCTTGAACAATGCAGGGATTAGGGACGCCAACCTTCTGCACAGTTTGAAAATGCACGTACAACTTTTGACTTCTCCAAAACTTAACTACTAATGAAATACTGTTGACCAGCAGCCTCAACAAGATAAACAGTTAACCCATATTGTGTATATATACTGTGTTTTTACAATAAAGTAAGTTGGAGAAAAGAAAATATTATTAAGAAAAGCTTAAGAGGGGCTCCTGGGTGGCTCAGTCGGTTGAGTTTCTGACTCGATATTGGCTCAGGTCATGATCCCAAGGTCGTGAGATCAAGCCCCCATCACACTCCACGCTGGGCAGAGTCTGCTTGGGATTCTCTCTCTTTCCCTCTGCCCCCTCCCTCACCCCCACATGCTCTCTTTCTCTCTTCAAAATAAAAAAAGAAAAAAAATCATAAGAGAAAATACCTTTATAGTACTGTACTGTATTTATTGAAAAAAAAAATCTTCATAGGGGCACCTAAGTGGCTCAGTCGGTTGGGCGTCTGACGTTGGCTAGCGTCATGATCTCATGCTTCGTGGGTTCGAGCCCCACATGGGGCTCTGTGCTGATAGCTCAGAGCCTGGAGCCTGCTTGGGATTCTGTCTCCTCTCTCTGCCCCTCCGCTGCTTGTGTTCTCTCTCTCTCAAGGATGAATAAACACTAAAAAAAAAAAAAAAAAAAAAAAAAAAAAAAAAAAAAAAAAAAAGAAAGAAAAGAAAAAAAAGAAAAAAATCTGCATATAGATGGCCCTGCACAGTTTAAACCCGTGTTGTTCAAGGGTCAACTGCACTTGTGGAGAGCAGCGGGGAGGAGCTCAGAGTTTTAATTAAGACCTTAGGGCTGCTCGGGGAGATAACAAATGCTGGAGGAAGAGCTGTGGTGGCATGAGGAGGGGTATAATTAGCCCTTCCCTTGGCTTCTCAAAGTACTCTGTTTATCTTCTTGTTACACTACATTTTTAGCACCAGTGCTCTGTGACACACTTACTTGTGGCTGTCTCTGTCTCCCCAGAGGGCCGAAACCCTGACTGATTCACTGTCTGGATCCTCAGCAAGGAGCAGATTTGAGATGATGACATGTCACACCCCTCGGCTCGAGTAATGCTAGCAATAACTAGCATTCTGCGTGAGCTCATCTCATATGCTGGGTACTCAACTAAGAGCTTAATGTGGATTAGGCCATAGAATCCCCACTGTGACCCTAAGAGGTAGAATTATTAACATTTAACAGATAAAGAAACTAAGTCACAGAGAAGTTAAAGTCAGATGGCCACGATCACACATTTCTTAATCACGATGTCTCCATAATCCTAGGACTCTCGCACAACATTGGAGTTTTGTGTGGCAGGAGATTCCAATCCTATCTGATAGATAAAGAAAGTAAAGCTCAGAGAGGTTTTCTCCAAGGTTACATGAAGGGGACAGTAATAGAAATGAGTGTGAAGTAAGGGTAAGATAGACACATGGCAACATGGATGAATCTTAAAAAATAATGCTGAATGGGGGCGCCTGGCTGGCTCAGTCAGAAGAGCGTGCGAGTCTTGATCTTGGGGTCATGGGTTCGAGCCCCATGTTGGATGTAGGGATTATGAAAACAAAACTTTAAAAATTTTTACTCTGTCTTGGGACGCCTGGGTGGCTCAGTCGGTTAAGCGTCTGACTTCAGCTCAGGTCATGATCTCACGGTCCGTGAGTTCGAGCCCCACGTCGGGCTCTGTGCTGACAGCTCAGAGCCTGGAGCCTGTTTCGGATTCTGTGTCTGCCTCTCTCTCTGACCCTCCCCTGTTCATGCTCTGTCTCTCTCTGTCTCAAAAATAAATAAATGTTAAAAAAAAAAGTAAAAAAGAAATTTTTTTTTAAATAGTGATGAATGAAAAAGTTAACAAATACATATTCATAGATATATAACCGTTTGCGTCAACATGCACTGCATACTACACGTTTTTCAAAATGTATACAAAGCAAAAAATTACACACAAAGCACATTAAGGTGGTTGCCTTAGGGTGAGGGATAGGAGTGAGCTATGAGGCTACCTTAGTCTGCTTCAGCTGCCATAACAGAATACCACGGACTAGGAATCTTAAACAAAAGACATCAACTTTCTCATAGTTCTGGAGACCGGAAGTCCAACATCAAGGTGCTAGCAGAGTTGGTTTCTGGCGAGGTTGATTTCTGGTTTCCTTGGGTCGCAGAGAGCCACCTTCTGTGTCCTCACATGGTCACATGGCCCCTCCTCTGGGCCTGCGCAGAGATCACAGGTGTCTTTTCTTATAAGGACCCCAGACCTATTACTGGATTGAAGTCCCTTACGACTTCATTTAACCTCAATTACCTTCTTAAAGGCCCTATCTCCAAATACAATCACATTGCAGGTTAGGGCTCCATCACATGATTTTGGGGTCGGGGGGACACAGTTGAGTTCGCAACAGGGGTTAACAGGGAAATAATAAATAGAACCACAAGGAATGGGAAAAGAAAATGAGGTTGGAGCAGTAGACAGGATCCAGATCAAGCAGGGCCCAATAGGCCATAGGAAGGAGATCATCTGTAAAGGCTCAGAGAGGTCACTCACTTCGTAAAGTCTAACGCCAGGGTTTGTGTATGTAGCTGATTGATTCCAAAGCACATGTCATCTGAAATTGCTTGAGTCCTGATAACTAAGTGGAAATGCATGTATTTCATTTACCATGAGGAAAATGGAGTTTAGAGAAGTCAAATGACTTGCCCAGGTCACGTAGTAAGTGGTAGAACTGAGGTTTGCAGAGTTCTTTCTGCCTCCAAAGCAAGGCTCCTTTTATATGTTCCGCAGCCTCCCAGCCTTTGGCCCTGACCAACTTCATTCACTTGTTATTTTACGCACTCATTCATCGAGTATATTATTTATTGGCACCTTCTCTGTGCCAGGCCCTGTGCAAGACACCGAAGACATAAAAATGAAGAGAACATGGTCCCTGCCCTCAGAAAGCTCAGCCAGTAGAAAAGATAGCCAGATAAACAAATGCGAGCATTGGAGACGCTTGTGAAAGGTGTTAGGGTCTGGAGGAGGGAAAATGACTCTGCCTGGGGTAGTTGCGCAAGATTTCTTAGAGGAAGATCTTTGTTTTTTTCAACGTTTATTTATTTTTGGGATAGAGAGAGACAGAGCATGAACGGGGGAGGGGCAGAGAGAGAGGGAGACACAGAACCGGAAACAGGCTCCAGGCTCTGAGCCATCAGCCCAGAGCCTGATGCGGGGCTCGAACTCACGGACCGCGAGATCGTGACCTGGCTGAAGTCGGACGCTTAACCGACTGCGCCACCCAGGCGCCCCTTAGAGGAAGATCTTTGAATCAAACCCTTGAAAGATCAAGAATACCAGAAGAAAAAACTCAATGTGGGCAGAACAAAGGATGTGGGCACTCTCCAAGGGCAAGTGAGAGAAGGGGTGATGAGTCCAGATGTGGAAGGCTCTGACTACCAGGCCAGAACTCAGACTTAATTCTGAGGCCACTGGGAAGCCCCTGAAGGGGCTAGAGCAGGTGAGTGCCTTGGCCAGGATTCTAAAGTAAGGTATCTCTGCCAGGGGTGTCCAAAGACTTGAAGTCCTTTTAAGAATCAGTTGAGCTGGTAAGGAAAATTGACGGCCCCTCCCACCTCTAATCTTGTTATGACTTTTGGTCCACGTAGACCGTGGGAACTTTAAAAAATTTTAACCATCCCAGTCAAAGCCTTCATCTCACTTACTAGAGATACTAACTTGCTTCCTTCCTCTCTGCCTACACCCACCTCCCACCAGGGTGATGGGGCTACAGTGGGGGCTTGGGAAAAAGGTGTGTAGAGAACCGAGGGGTTGAAGCTTCCCATGGTGGGGGGTGGGGGGGGGTTGCCAAAGG